CTTAAGAGTTTCTCACACAGAAAGACCACCCATAGGCAGCTCATGGATGAGCAAGCAAAGGGGATTCATCACAAAATTAATCAACTAGACACTTTAGGGACCCATTTGTTTCATATTATTTTAACTGAAGATCGTCCGGTGGAGACTCTGGCAGCTGCGCTGGGCAGTACTGCGGCGGGTGTTAGGAGAAGTTTTCTGGATGTGGTGAAGGCGCGGTCCGGGGAGGAGAAGACGGTTGTGCTGCCATAAAAATTAGAGGATATTGATGGTGAATTGGGTTTTTCTTTCATTGCAACAGAAATCAAGAAACTTGAGGAGGAATTTTGGTGGGGACTGGTGATGAAATTTCTGGTGAAGAGACCAAACATTGATCAGATCCGTTTGGCAGTGGTGAAAACGTGGGGCTTACAGGAGACGCCTATTATCAGTTTTATGGATTCATCACACGTATTGATTCAATTGAGAAATGAAGAGGACTTTCTACACACCTGGGCTCGGGAACGAAGATCAATTGCGGGGAGCGTTTTCCGTTTGTTCAAGTGGACGGTGGATTTTGATATATACAGAGAGTCATCTACTGCCCCGCAGTGGATCTTTTTGCCTGGGCTCCCTCTCCATCTATATAGGGTTGATTGTTTGAAAATCCTTGCATCGAGGTTTGGGCGTTATTTAGGAACAGATCACGAGACTCTTAATCGAACAAGAGCAACTGGGGCTCGAATATGTGTTGAGACAGATTTGAGGGCAGAACCAGTGGAGGGTTTTCCTATGAGGTTCCCAACTAGAACATATTCGCAGGAGGTAAAATATGAGAAACTCGATTTCTACTGCAACAGGTGTGGAAGGCAGGGTCATCCCGAATTTGCTTGTAGGGTGGATCAACCAAAGCAGGTACGAAGACGTAAAAGGACTAGGGAGGAAAAAGGAAAGGCTAAAATGGAGTGGAAGAGGAAAGAGATGGGTACGTTAGAGGAGAAACAAATCGAGGCGGGAAAGGAAAATATGAGAAGTGATGACATTGTGATTAAGACAGATGTACGGAAGGAGGAAACTGATTATACAGTGGACAATTCACGGAATGTGGAGGTTCTTCCAGAAGGAGACCATGGTGAAACTGGAAACTACAGCGGGTCGCAAGATAGGGAACATGCGGTAGAGATGAATGATAAGGAGTTGGGAGAGCTGTTTATTGAGCATGAACAAGCACAAGTTACCATTAAGAATGTAGAGGAGCATGATGGTGGGGCTGGTATGGAGTTGACGGTATCGGCTTCAGGTGAACTCGCGGCAAGGGAGAGGCTTGAGCCTGACAACATGGGGAAACCTGTTAATAATCAAAAGGACAGTGTTATTACTCCTGTTGTTGAGGCAATAAATGATGAGGATGTCGAAGAAGAAAGAGCGATTAATGTTGGGTCAGATTGTGAGATATCAGAGGTCCGTGGTGATGCTTGTGATCAGAGAGAAAAGGATTATATGTCAGACACAGAAATTAACAAAATTGCAACAGGGCAGGGTGGTAAAAGGTTAACACTGAGGTACTCACAGAGGGAGCGAGCACGCCCTTCAAAACTGAACTTATGATTGATTCCATGGTAGTGTGGAACGTGTGGGGCATGGGCACTTTAAAAGGGAGGCTAAGGAAGTTAGTTAAAAAGCATAATGTGGCAGTTTTAGTGGTGCCAGACCTTTACATAGTGACCAGCGTATGGCTATGTTTGCTAAGAAGATAAATTTGTCGGGTTGGCTTTCAAATAAAGGTGAGGGAGGTAAAATTTGGGTTTTCTGGAGGGATGACATTAGAGTCGAGTGGATTGGTGCTTCTTCTCAAACGTTACATGGTATGGTTCTGAAAGATAATCAAAAAATTGTGGTTTCCTTCATTTATGCAAAATGCACTGCTTTGGAGCGAAGGGAACTGTGGCAAGAGTTAGAGAGTCTTAGGATTGGTGGCCTGCCTTAGATAGTCTCAGGGGATTTTAACATTATAAGACATGATTCTGAACGTATACGAGGAAATCCTAGACCACTAGCAGCTATGGAATTTAATGATTGCATAGATAAGTGTGGGCTGGTGGAAGTACAGTGTGTGGGGAGGAAACTATCGTGGTGTAATGGACATGATGGACTGGGTCGTAGCTGAGCCAGATTGGATCGTACACTGGCTAACTCAAATGCTTTGCGGCTCTATCCTAATTTACAAATGAAATATTTGCCTAAGCATACATCAGATCACTACCCGATGCTCATTCATTTTCAGGAGCAACACGATTCCTACGGTCCTTCTCCTTTTCGATTCCAGAGGATGTGGTGTGAACATGAGAATTTTCTATCTTGTGTTGAGCTAGTATGGAGGGGTTGTGACTATGCAGAGGGGCTAGGGGTATGGACAAACTAGTAGCAAAATTAAAGGCCACAAAAATGGCTTTAAAAATGTGGAATGAGCAGGTGTTTAGGCAAGTAGAGTCTATGTCTGCTGAGTTGGAAGAGTGAGTTGAAAGTTTGGAGAATGTTCTTCAAAGTGGTTACATAGAGGAGGTGGAAAGTGAGTTTTTGAGATCTAAAATGGAGCTCACAGAGTGACAAAGAAGGGAGGAGATAAGCCTCTCTCAACAAGCCAAGAAAAAATGGCTGAGTGATGGGGTGCTCACAGAGTGGCAAAGAAGGGAGGATAGAAGGCTCTCTCAACAAACAAAGAAAAAATGGCTGAGTGATGGGGATAACAATACTAAGTTCTTTCATGCTGTTATTGCACAGAAAAGACGAAGTATGAGGATATCTTCTATGACCTTGGGTGATGGGTCGGTGTTAAGTACCCCAAAAGAGATTCACATAGCGACTGTGGATTATTTTCATAAGTTTCTTTCCGAGGAGCGTGATTTCCAATTGCCAAATTTGTCAGGTTATATCGATGAGTGCATCTTTAGGAAGGAGGGGCTTGAGCTTTGTAAGTTGCCAACTGAGGAGGATGTGTGGGATGCTAATGGTGAACAGAATGAAGGTATTACTTCATAAAATCATATCATTGGAACAAGGGGCCTTTTTACTAGGACGTAGCATTTTTGAGAACATCACTCTCACACAGGAGATGGTACAATCCTTGAATGGCAAGGTTCGAGGTGGAAATGTACTGATTAAGGTGGATATGGCTAAGGCCTATGATAGAGTGGATTGGCGCTTTCTAATTCATGTCTTGAGATCATTTGGTTTCCCTCTGCTCTTTGATTTCAAATTGCATTACTACCCCCTGGTTTTCTATTATGATGAATGGCACGACTCAGGGTTTCTTTAAATTCTCAAGGGGTCTGAGATAAGGTGATCCCCTCTCGCCTTATCTTTTCATTATTATGGAAGAGGTGTTGACTCGACTGTTACGAAAGAAGATTGAGACAGATCGAATTGGAACCTTCTCACATCCCCGAGGGGCACCACTAGTATCACATTTGCTGTATGCTGATGATCTTGTAGTTTTTGCTAATGGCAGTAAAAAATCCATGAAAAAGCTTATGAAAACATTTGCTTGTTATGAAAGGTGGTTCGGACGGTTGATAAATAGAGATAAGTCAGCTATTTTTCTATCTAAGGATTGCACAGTGGTACAAAAAGGTGAGATTCTTAGAGTTACTTCCTTCCAAGAGTGATCTTTTCCTTTTACGTATTTGGGGGTTCCGGTGGTGTTGGACAGGTTAACGGCTTGTCGTCTTCAAGGACTGGTGGACAAAATTAAGAGTAAAATTGCAGGCTGGAAATTGGAGTTACTATCACAAGGAGGTCACTTCATTCTAATTAGACATGTGTTGTCTAGTATGGCAACACACTTACTATCTGTAGTGCACGTGCCTATGTCAGTATTTAGATCCTTGAATTCAATTATATCCTCTTTCTTTTGGGGTGAGGTGAATGGAAGGCCAAAGAAAAAATGGGTTGCTTGGGAAAAGATGTCTAAACCGGAGATGGAGGGGGGGTCTTGGTTTTCGTAGGTTTGAGGAAATACAACGGTCTCTACATATGAAGTTTGCATGGAAGCTACTGTCGGATGATTCTCTATGGGCAAGTTTCTTCAGAGCTAAGTACATAAAAAATGGCTTGGTGTATGTCTCTACACTGAACAGGAGGGGATCCAAATTTTGGAAATCTATAGTGGATGTTTTACCTGAGGTAGCTGCAAATTGTCAATGGAAGATCAATGAAGAAAATATCTCGTTTTGGTTTTCTCATTGGATGCTGAATGACCCTCTATGTAACCAAGTTACTAACATTAACCAACCTGGTTTGAGAATACGTGATGTATGTTTGGAGTCCGGATGGGATATTGAGAGGTTACATGAACTAGTTGGAGAAGATGTGGCGGGGAATATTATGCAAAAACTTCATGCTTGCAAGCCTGGTCAGGATATTTTGATATAGAAACCAAATAAACAGGGCATTTTCACTTCAAGAAGTGCTTGGGACATGCTTAGAATTAAAGCTCCAGATGTGCATTGGGCCCAGTGGGTTTGGAACAAAGCTATTCCTAAGCGGGTGTCAGTGGCTATGTGGAAAGCTTTATCAGGGAGCCTCAGTGTGGATTCTAGTATTCGTAAAGTGGGTATTGCTATAGCTTCAAAATGCAATTGCTGTCTAGTAGGTCACGATAAGAATACAGATCATGTATTGAGCACAGGGGACTTTGCGGATGAGGTTTGGAAGAAATTATCGCATTATTTAGGTTTGCAATGGAGGAGTAAACAAGGTTGGTGGGAGCGGGTTCAACTATGGTGTGCTCGAGCTAAGCGATCTACACAACTAGGTTGTCTTCTTGGTATGCTTCCTTGTCTTATTACCTGGCGTTTGTGGGTGCGACGGTGTCGAGCTCGAATGGAGGGAAAGAATGAAACAGTTCAGGAAGTAGTCACCTCTATAAAATTCTGGTTGCAACAAATGGCCTATTCCATCAAAAAGGTTAGAGCCCTTTCATCTCATGATGCTAGAATTTTGTCTGATTTGGACATTCCATGTGTGATGCCGCGGCAAAGGCAAACTCGTATGATCACTTGGAGGAGACCGAGAGCGGGTAGGGTCAAACTTAATGTAGATGGCTGTAGCTTTGGGAACCCTAACCCATCTGGGCGTGGGGGTGTTATTAGAGATGAGTTTGGGAAAGTTAGGGGAGGCTACTAATACAGAAGCAGAGTTGAGGGCTATTATTGAAGGTTTGAAGGTTTGCCAACAACTTGGGACTGGTGTTGTTGAAATTGAATGTGACTTTCTAATTATTGTTAATTGGCTAATAACTCGTAAGTGCACAGTGTGGTATCTGTGAGATTTTTGGGAATAGGTATTGGTTTTGATTCATCCTTTTGAGGTTCATGTAGTACATCAGTACAGAGAAGGTAATCAAGTGACAGATACATTAGCAACAATAGGTGCAAAAGGGCATACACAGAGGTTTTACTCGCATATGGAGCTACCCAGAGTTGTCTGTGGTCTTGTCCGGTTAGATCGAATTGGAGTAGCTTACTTCCGTAATTGATTTATTTGCGATATTTTGGTGGGTTGTTAGGCTTGGTTTTTGTTTTATTAGTCATGTTTAGCGATAAAGATAGCAGATCTTATTTGATTTTTGGTGTAGTGTCTATGATCGAGTATGTAACTACGGTATTCCTCTGCCACAAGCAAGGTTCTATTGGATTGGTTTGGACTAAAAAAAAAAAAATGGATTCCACTATGAGACAAACTAGTCAACAAAAACGCTTCCCATTGCAACGGTACAAATTTTCATTAAAATTGGAAACAAACAGGGGTTAGGGATGTTTAGTGAGGTGTTTAATCATTTTTTTTTTAAATTTAAGCCGCTCTTCGTGGCACATTTTATTAACAGCCAAAATAAATAAAGAATTAAGAGGAGGTTCTGACCTTAACTAATGAAAAATAAGGAGCAAATTTTAGTCCAAAGGTAGGGATCACACTTGAAAATAAAAGGAAGCTACTATACTTCCCAAGGTGCGGTCTATCCAAAGTGTGAAATCTCTGTGATGATTCAGTGTTGCTTTCATATTCACCGCTGATGATAAATGTGTGAATTTATGGCTATATCTCAAACTTCGAAATCCATTACATCACCATTAACGTAGGCAAAGGCATCTTTAGCATAATCACTTACCTTTAGGTAGAATGGTTCAGCTTCAAGCCTAAACTCGTGGCTCACAATTTTTTCTCGATCTACATGCCCAATATACTCTATTTTCTTGGCAGATCTTGCAAAGATTTCTTGGGCTGCTGGAGGCAGGAGCAATATACAACAAACCATATAATTTTTATACAAACCAAGAGTTACAAAATTATAAGAGAAAAAAATCAGCAGCTGGGGAAAGAGCTGGACAAAAGTATATAATTAACTACCTTATTCCTATAACTGTACACCATAATATACTTAAAATACATATAAACACAAGTATATGTTGTGACCCTAAGAGTTTTAGGGCAAATATACTATATATTGTGATGTGCAAGTCATCTACTTCGCATGGAATTTCACCGATATATGGATGAAAGTATAGTTCAAGTGGAAGAATGATCTACAATATTTCTCATGATCTGTACTTGGGCTTGGAGACATTTTATGTAGTGAGCAGTTTCATTCAGCAACGTGCAAAGTTTCATTTCTTTACCGCCTGGCACAAGCTTCCGAAGATCACATACCTGCTCAAAACCTTGCTCTTCTCTAGGGTTTCCTCTTGCAACTTTTCTCATTAAGGAATGGGTTCGGCTTCGTTTCATCAAAGCACGGTGAAATGTACGGTTCCGAATCATCCAAAGAGTCGCCTGACTCCAAGGTCTCCTCGGTCTGACCGCGGAAGCCATCGATGCATAGGATGCAACCCTAATCAAATGATATCTCCTGTAAGTCTCTCTGATAGATGGTGAAGCAGGTCTATTCTTGTTCAGTTTGTTCAGGGCTTTAAGGAACCTATATGTAAACCTAGATTTGACTGAACTGAGGTTCAAGGGGAGACGCTGATGAGTAGTCATGGAGGGTAATGGACGGAGAAGATTGAGAATCAAAGAATTTCTTTTAGGGTTTCTTCGTGTTGGGTGTATTCTTTTATGTGTAAAATCTAAGAAAAAGCTTCTTATACAATGAATCGAGAAAGCAGCTACTCCTCCTGCTACCCTTAGAGATGAAGATTTTCTTTCGAGTAAAGGGACCTCTTTGCTCAAATTAACAAAACTTCAGTTAAGACTTCTTGACACAATTAGATTTAGTATATACATACATACAACAAACATGCATGTGCGTTTGTATGTGAGACAGATTGAGAGAATAGTGCGAGGAATGATCAAGAATGAACGTGTGAAGAATATTAAATAACGAATAATTATGTGTTTTATCTTTCGTTTTCGAGGTGAAAAAATTGTTTTGTAGGGCATAGGGCTGGATAAGAGCCAACCGCAATACGATCGCACATGGTTGCACATACCCACTTGAGTGATGGGCCATTTTCGATTAACGTGGGTCCATTACTGCTACATTATAATATATGTTATAGAAATTCAAATTCAAATTTTAATTTAAGTTAAAATTTAACCACACATTTTATAAAATTCAAAATTTTTCAACCATATATTTTATCAAATGACTATATATAGAACTAAACAAAGAAGCACGTAAGCTGCCACCGAATTCATGATGGGGGCGTCTATGCTGAAAATTTTGGCCCTAACTTTTATCTTCAATATTTATAAGAATTAAAATTCTTTGTCAGAAAGAAATTGATGCTTTTGCTTACCTATATTCACATGGAAGTGGGGTCCACGTGAGACCTGTATGAATAAAAAAAGCCAAAAAAATCATCTCCTCTATTGTGAGTATACTGTCAAGGAAGGTTTCAAATCTTCTCTAACAACATAGCATAATTGTATTTATAAAGCTAAATCACTATTTATAAAATTTTCAGGAAATTCTTTAGTTTTAAAGAACATTTTGATAATAATGGAGAGTATCTTTAAATTTAAAGAGCAACAAACTCTTTACGTTTGCTCTTTATTTTAATTTTTTTCAACATTTATTTGTTGTAAATAAAGAGTATTTCACTCTTAAAAATAGTCTCAAGTGTAGATAGGGACCTAAAAGCTACTTATGAGAAGAAACAAATTAAGGACCACATCAACAAACGAGCTAGGAAATAAAGTCAAATCACTATTTAAGTGTAGACAGGGACCTAAAAGCTACTTATAAAAAGAAATAAATTAAGGGTCGGCAGAGCTTATCCTCTTGTAGAAGAGTTTCTTGATGAAGTTATTTTATGTAGTTTCCTCTAAAAACTTTTTTAACTAAGAAAAGCGCTTTCAAAAAATCATTCAAACATATTTAAAGTTATCTTTTTAATCTAATAAGCAACTTTTAACATTTCAAAAGTTCTGTCAAATGAGCTTTAACAAATTAAATTACTATTGGTAAATGGGGTGGTAGCACGAACCTTTGAGCTACTACTTATTTGTTAATTTTATGTCAAACGGTGACAGTTGAATGGTAAATTTATGCAATCTTTTAAATTCATGTATATGATTGATTCTAAGCGAATAATAAAGATTGACTTGATTTTTTGAGTGGTGGTAGAGAACGAGATACCAATTCTTGAAACTTTGATCTCGATTATGAAAAGAACAATTCTTAGCCAGCCAATCAAGATAACGAGAAGATATTATTTAATACATTCGTTGATTCAAATATAAATATCAAAGAGATTGAAACAAAGAATTGGAAAACTCCAAATTTATATAATTTTATTCAATGAGCAATCAAGAAACTAATAATAAAACAATTCCACATAAGAAATATAAAACTTGAAGCAATGAAAATAGAATCCATAAATCCAAATAGAAACGCACGCTTGGATGGAACCATTCTTTAAGAGATAGCATTTCAATAACGGAAAATGAACATGGTAGGTCCATTGCCTATTGGTTGACATGCATTATTGCTTTAGAATTAAGACTCCTTAACTAATCTCATAATTTGGCTTAAGTTTAGATAAGTATGCGGCCTACGTCTTTCATTAGGAACCACAAACATTGGCTTGTCGCCACTCAGCAATAACGTGCAATATACGTTCAATTTTGACTAATGTGTACAAAAAGTATTAAAAGTTTACGATTAACATTTAGAATATTATTGATATGACCATTTTGTATAAGAGTCTAATTCTAATGCATGGCCGTGCTAAAGAGAATTAAACTCCACATTGATTGTTTAATGATTTATCTTAATCCGTTACCGATTAATAATTGCTATTCGTGAACTCTAAGGTTTTTGGTATGCCAAACGAGTGAGATCTAATTATTTGTGAAATCGCTAGATAGATTTAAAATCGAAGGTAAGCGATGTAGTAGATAAGTATTTGGGTTCAAAATCTACCGCTCGATTCAAATGGTAAAAGAGTCCGCTTAAGTATTTTCTTCTAATCATTTTTAATATGATCGCAGTATTTGGCTATGGTCGAATTATTACTGCAATTTGATCGTAAAGAAATTGATGAAGAAAATGTTGACTTAAGTGAGAAAATAATTACGGGGGTAAAACGACCAATTTAACGCATCACTAACTATTTGAGGACCAGTAAGGGTAATGAATTAAGATGGCAAGGCAAGATGATTTAATGGCAAGAAATTGAAAGAAGAGTTTTTGTCAGTTTGCATATTTTAATATGTCAATTTTGGGCATTTAATGGAATAAGTCCAACCTAAAAATTGATTGAACAAATCGAATTGAATAATTTGTATTCAATTATTATGGCTTGAATTATATAGGTTGGATTGAATTCTTTAGTAGTTTCCAAAAAGTTCAAGGACTTAAATTATATATATAATTGAAGTCTAAGAATTACATTTGACCGAAGTCAATTGGTTGACTAGATGATCAAACCCGGATTTTTATTAACCTCATATTTGATAGAGATTTTTTCAAAATGAATTTTGTGAAAAATGATTATTTTTTAGAATGAGAGATTAAAAAGTGGGAAAATTTTACGTGCAAAATTATTTTATTAAGAGAATTTGTGATTGAAAATTACTTCGAAAAAGATAAGTTTTAAAAAACCAGGGGCAATAGGGAGTGAGTAAATGAAAGTCCAATTTCGAATTTGACCACATATGGTAAGTTTGACAATATTCTTGGAAAGAGTTCTAGCTTAATTAAATTTCAAATTCCTAACGTACTACTACAATGACCGAATACCTCATGACAAAAAATAATAATGAATTCGGATAAAATCGTTCGGTTCAATTTCGATTCCTTTATTAAATTGATCGATTTTGGGATCGTGCATTTAGAATCGATCGATTCCTGTCCGATCCTTGGTATTGCCTAATGAACTAATAATGAATTTGTTTCTCCTTAATTTATCTTTATGTTGAAACATTACACAAATATGCACAAGATATTTGAACACTAATCCCTAAAATTATCTTATGTCAAAATTTCACTTTTCATACACTTCTTCTTCTTTTTTTTTTTTAAACAATGAATAATCAACATTTAAATATAAATAATTTACAAAAATTCATAAACTTAATATAACCCCTGTATTTTAGTTGTATCTTTTATAAAAAAAATGTCAAATTTCTCGTTGTTTCAAAATGATCGATCATCATATTCAAGATCTTCTCCTTGAAGACTATTGAAAATAATCTAGTATAAATACTACATGCATTTTTTATTATATATTGTTGTATGAATTTTCTTAATAATTAATTTTTTTATCTAGATTTTACGGTTAATATTGTGTTTAATATTTTATCCTTTTTATGCCCTAAATTGATCTTGAGTTTTGGAGTGTATTTTTATTTGTTGTCTTATTTAGTCCATATTTGTCTCTCTTAAAAAAAACAAAAAAATTAATTCTCATACTCATTTTTAACTACGCATTTACTCAATAAAATATTTTACACGTAAATTCAAAATATTTACCTACTTTTTTATCACATTCTCCAAAAAATCATTAGTCAAAACTCCTTTTTTTCAAAATGATTGCCATTAAATGGGGACTTAATTATTTTATATATTATTAAATTACAAGAATGATAAGTGATGCTAACTCCATTTTATCTATTTTTAATCTGACAAGTAATTTAATATTCTATTTTAATAAAAAAATTAATATAATGAACCGGATTAGAATCGGTTTGGTCCTATAGTTAGATATGGAACAAATGGTTCCATTTCTAAGATTTTCATTGGTTCTTGATTCGATTTGGTTCTTTTCAGAATCGAACCGAATCGAAACGAACCACACCCATTCATACTTGGAGGCTTGAAATTTTCACAAGAATTTTTTTTTATCTCTAGAAACTAACAAGTCTTATGATTTTGAAGTATGTTCTTTTAGATTCTATTTGAGGACCAGTAAGGGTAATTAATTAAGATGGCGAGGCAAGATGATTTAATGGCAGGAAATTGAAAGAAGAGTTTTTGTCAGTTTGCATATTTAAATATGTCAATTTTGGGCATTTAATGGAATAAGTCCAACCTAAAAATTGATTAAACAGATCGAATTGAATAATTTGTATTCAATTATTATGGCTTGAATTATATAGGTTGGATCGAATTCTTTAGTAGTTTCCAAAAAGTTCGAGGACTTAAATTATATATATAATTGAAGTCTAAGAATTACATTTGACCGAAGTCAATAGGTTGACTAGATTATCAAACCCGAATTTTATTAACCTCATATTTGGGATCGTGCATGTAGAATCGATCGATTCCTGTCCGATCCTTGGTATTGCCTAATGAACTAATAATGAATTTGTTTCTCCTTAATTTATCTTTATGTTGAAACATTACACAAATATGCACAAGATAGTTGAACACTAATCCCTAAAATTATCTTATGTCAAAATTTCACTTTTCATACACTTCTTTTTTTTTTGGAGTGTATTTTTATTTGTTGTCTTATTTAGTCCATATTTGTCTCTCTTAAAAAAGAAAATTAATTCGCATACTCATTTTTAACTATGCATTTACTCAATAAAAT